TGCCCATTCAGGGACTGAAAAATACTTTAAAATCTAAGCAGAAGGCTGGGGATGGAGCTCAGATGGTAGAATGCCTAGCATTCTCGTGGTCCTGGGTTCAAGCCCCAACAAAACCTGTATAAACTGTGTATGCTGATGCACAAATGCCTGGAATCCCAGCACTCAAGAGGTGGAGGTGGGAAGATCAGGAGTTCAAGGCCATCCTTGCCTATCTGAGACCCTGGATCCAAAATGAAAAAAAAAAGTGTCAGGGAAAGTAGCTTGACTGGGCAAGTACTTTCCAAACATGCATAAGGCCTTTAGTTGCATCTCACCACTGCAAAAACAAGGTATGATGGCTCATGCCTATAAACCTAACATTTGAGAAGCAGAGGCAGGAGGATCAGGAGTTCCAGGCCAGGCCTATATGAGACCTTGTATCAAAAACAAAGAAGAAAAAAAGTGGAAGTGATTTGTTAGAGGGATGAGGTCATATAGACTATCTACACTGGTGGTGAGGTGGGTGTGTGTGGGAGGCAATCAAGCAGCCAGAGGAGAGAGGAGAGGAATTTGAGTTGAGGTTGCGCTCTGGTTTTGTGTTATTGTGTATTGGGGAGAGGATTTTAGGTGGGAGGAATCAAGGGTTCTTTCTGGGATGTGTCCAGTTGGCATTGCCTTGGGGAAACCCAAGTCAGGGTATCAGGTAGCCAGTTGGACACAGTAAGATGAGAGTACTGGAGAGGTCAGGGTTGGAAATGTAAGTTTTAGAAACGTCAGCATAGAGTCATTTAAAGCTACCGAATGGGATGGCTTTGAAGGTGAGTGCAGACAGAGAAGTTTGGGGAATCTCTATATCATCTACATGAGTGGGAGTGACCTGGAGGTGCAGGCAGAAAGCTGGGCCCTCTCATAGGGGGGAAAAAAAACCTGTTGGAATGGGGGCATGGCTCAGGGGTAGAGCACTTACCTACAATGCTCCTGTGAAGGGGCTGGGGAGAGGCTCATTGGTAGAGAACTTGCCTAGAATCTCCCAATGAGGGGCTGGAGGTGTGGTACAGTGGTAGAGCCCCTGCCTAGAATTCCCCAATGAGGCTGTTCAGTTGCCAGCACCTACAAAAGTTGGTCCACAAATGCCTGTAACTCCAGCTCTGGAGGATCCAGCACCCTCCTCTGGCCTCTATGGGTATCTGCACATATGTGCGTACATACATGTAAGCCAGGTCTGTGGTTCAGTGGTAGAGCACATGCCCACAGTCCCCCAGGTGAGGGGCTGGGGCTCAATGGTAGAATACTTGCCTAGGTTCAATCCTCAATGCTAAAAAAAAAAAAAAAAAGATATGCAAAAAATGTTTATGAAGCAGGAAGACAGTCATATGTGATCAATGCTGCTGAGAGTTGGGGACAGGTACCAGTGCAAAGCAACTGGTTTGTTAATGTGGACTTGGTTGACACTCTTAAAGAGAGGTCATTTTAGTCCAGTTTCAGAGATGGAAGCCCTGCTGTAGCATGGGGCCATGTAACAAAAGGGGGGATTTGAGAGAAGGAAAAGGAACCAGAATCCCAGCAATTATTATTATTATTAGGTATGAAAATGATACAGAGCTGGGTGTGGTAGCTCATCCCTATAATCCCTAGATAGGAGGATTGCCATAAGTTTGAGGCCATCCTGGGCGACAGAGGGAGAGAGACCCTTTCTATTTTTGGCTTTTTGAAGCAGGGTGTCCTTGTAGCCCCAGCTGTCTTGGAACTCACTATGTAGACCAGGCTGGCCTTGAACTCACGGAGATCTGCCTGCCTCTGCCTCCCAAGTGCTGGGACTACAGGCGTGCGCCACCACGCCCGGCTGTGAGACCCTTTCTTAAAAAGAATTAAACAACTTTAAAAATGGGGCCGGTGAGATGGCTTAGCAGATAGAGCGCCTGCTGCCAAACCTGACAACTTGAGTTCAATTCTTGGGACCCACATGATGGAAGGAGATAACTGAGTCCCTGAAAACTGTCCTCTGGCCTCCACCTGTGCACCATGGCACACACACACCCCCTCCCCCACAAAATAAATACGTGTAATAATTTTAACATTTAAAAACAAGACAAATGACAAAGTACAGAAGTGTACAAGCAAGAAGACAGAAAATACATCCTGAATTTTGAGAGCTAGTACAGCAGGTAAGACCAAGAAAGGTAGAGAAGACCCAGGGCCCAGGAGAAGGGGACACCAACTAGGAGCAGGCAGGGGAGAGGGGTTCTGAAGGACCACCCCCCAAACAGAAGCTGTGCTGTCCTGTTTCCAGCTCCTGTTTCTGGCTGCCCCTGGCTTGCTATGGGATTCCCCCGGGGGGCCCATCAAGACTTGGGAAGGTCCAACAAGGTGACGCGCATGTGTCTGTTATTCTGAGACCTCAGGTGGTCTCCTGAGGACTTGGAGGAAGCAGGCCCTGCCATCTCAGACTTGCCATGGTGCAGGAAAACAGAAGAGACACAGGTGTATCCTGGTGGGCCACACAGACATTGAGGAAAGGCACCCCACATCTTTCTTAGCTTGGGAGGGGCCATATGTATGTAATGTATGTATGCTGTCTCATTTCACCAGGCCATTCATTCATTCACTCATTCATTCAATCACCCAACTCAGTCTCTAGGCTGTGTACTTGGCTTTGAACTGGATTCTTGGCTCCTGCCCCAGTCTGGGGGTGGGGGTCATGGGAGAGTCAGACACAGAAGTAGAGAGTTACCTCCCAGGATAGAATGTATCCAATGGAAAAGTCTAAGCAGCAGTGACAGAGATGGTAGGGATGCTCCAGGGCCCTGATTATGTTGGCACCAGGCCCAACTGGAGCAGCCATGGGGGAAGGAGTTCATAAAAGGTGGGTCCACCTGGATAGTCTGCAGAAGGGCTGAGGGAGGGGGTGAAGGGGTGAGGATCAGGCCCTGCTGCCATGCCACACGGCTGTCCCTGTTCCTGCCCCTGGGGGAGCTGAAGCTGCATGGAAGGTCCCCCAGGGGTACCCGGTCTAATAAATCCGATGAGGACCGCAGTTTAGTTCATGTGTCCCAACCCTCCAATTCCCCAGGCCTGTCTTTTCTACCTCCTGGGGGACAAAGGACTCCAGCACTGCAACTGTTCCATCCTTTAAGACCCAAGATTCCCAGCCTCAGCCTCCTTTTCCAGGCCCTGAAGTCTAGGTTCAGACAACTCCTTTAGGAATACAGGGCCCAGACCACCTCCCTCAGCCAGGAGTCCAGACCAAGCTCTCCCTCTTAGACCCAAGGGTTCAGGCCCCAGCCTCCTCCCTCAGACCCAGAAGTCCAGACCCCGGCCTTCTTTCTCAGACCCAGGAGGCCCAGGCCCCAGCCCTCCTCTCTCAGACCCAGGAGTCCAGACCCCAGCCCTCCTCCCTCAGATCCAGGGGTCCAGGTCCCAGCCTCCTCCCTCAGACCCAGAAGTCCAGACCCCAGTCTTCTCCCTCAGACCCAGGAGGCCCAGGCCCCAGCCCTCCTCTCTCAGATCCCAGGTCCCAGCCTCCTCCCTTAGACTCTAGTCCTCCCTCCTCCCTCCTACTCAACCTCCAGTCCTCCTCCGAGCCTTCCCTCCCTCGGAACCCAGCAGTTCAGCCTGCTTCCCGGTCCAGCCTGCTCAGGACAGAAATCCAAGTTCACGCTTTCGCTGCCTCTGCCATTACGATTGGTTAGAGTCTGGACTTTTCAGCTCCGCCCTTGACCCTTCGGGGGGGGGGCGTAGAAAAGTCTCCCCAGCTTGGCGGGTTGAAGACCCGGCCCCCAGCCCCTCCTCCCCAGCGGACTCCCTCTCCCGCCCCTTGTCCCCTTAAAATACCCGGGATCCCTATGGCAACAGGCGCCCGCGACAGGTGCGGGTGTTATTTACGGGTCGAGCCCGAAATAGCCGGTGGGGTGAGGGGGTGGGCGGATGGGGCGAGGCCGGGAGCAAGCGCAGCGGGTCCGGCGGGCTGCACCGGCGGAGGTGGTGCGAAGCGGGACGGTTCGGAGGCATCGCGGAGCTGGGGCCGGCGAGGCACGGAGGCAGGAGAGCGCTAGGGGCCCCTGCCCGGGAGACGCGGGTGGGAGGCCGGAGGGGAGCACGGGGCCCGAAGCCGAGCCTGGAGGGGTCCCGGCCGGGCAGGCCCTGGGAACCCGGGGGAGGGGGAACCGAGAGATCGCAGGGGGAGTCTTGTGAACCTCAGGGTCCCAGTTTTCTGAGCTGCAGTGTGGACCACCGCGCCTTGGTTTAAGGTCCGTTTGGGGACCCCAGGTCCTCCTCCTGAGCCTCTTTTCCTGGACTCCACTGTGACTCAGCCGCTGTGGGTAGTTCCTGAGACACCCACCCCCTTTTCCAGAATCCAGAGGGTCCCCAGTCCCATCAGTGTATCCAGATACTGCATCCGCGGATCTGCTGTGAATATTGGAGGTTTCCTCTTCCCTCTCTGAGACCTGGAGGGATTTCCAACCTTCCTTGGGGAAATCCTACTTCTTCCTTTTGTGTACCCCAAAGGAGTTTCGAGTCTTCCCACCTCAAACTCTGAGCCCGAAGGAGTCCAAACCACCTCTCTCAAACACACAAAAACCTCCCTCCCCTCCCTGGGAAAATTTTGAGCCTTAGTGGGGATCCCATCAGCAGCCCCTAGAAGCTGGGCAGGTCTCCTGGTCTGGAGGCCCCCAAGGCCACCTCCAGGGTAGGTGAGCTTCTAGGGAACCAGGCTTTTCCTCTAGGCCTCACCTGCACCTAACTAATGTGTGCACTGCAAGGGGCGCCTCGTTAAACCTCGCAGGTCTCTTTGGGCCAAGAATCTAGGTTTTTTTTTTTTTTTTCTTTTCTTCATTCTTCTGAGACGTGGAGAAGACTTGGACCCTTGCGTTTGAACTTGGCGCTTGCTCTTTCACAATCTAGTTTACACTGAGCCCGCATTCCCTTCAAGACCCCAGGCCCTGCTCCCGGCGCCTCAGGCTCCCCTTCGTAGCTCGGCCTCCCTGAAGCTCGCCTGAGCCTCATCCACCACAGTCATCATGATGATGTGGTCTAATTTCTTCATGCAAGAGGAGGACCGTCGGCGAGCCGCAGCAGGCCGGCGTCGTGCCCAGGGACAGCAGAATCTCGGCCTGACTCCGGAGCGTGAGGGCAAGATCAAGTTGGTGTTGCTGCTGGCCACCGTGGGCGCCACACTGTCTGTGCTGTCGGTGGGCACCGAGTTCTGGGTGGAACTCAATACCTACAAGACCAACGGCAGCGCCGTCTGTGAGGCCGCCCACTTAGGGCTGTGGAAGGTGTGCACCAAACGACTGTGGCAGGCAGACGTGCCCGCGGGCAGAGAGACCTGCGGCCCAGCTGAGCTGCCCGGAGGTGAGAGGCTGTGTGCTCAGCCTTAGCTTGTGTCCCACAGAAAGGGAGACACAGAGGCTGTGCCCATATCAAACTATACTACCAGAAACTGTAGAGAAATATAGATCAGACATACCCCCTGTCCCCTATGGAATCTGCTCCTCAGGGCTTGCCTTCTAGCTGTGACCTGTACCCCCCAAACCAACTTGTGTCCCAAAGAGAATCTAGGTTCCCAAAGATAGCCCATGCCTCAGCCCAGCCTGTCTCCTTACTTATATCAACCTGTACCCCTAGAGACACAGCCTGTGCCTCCAGACCCAGCTGGCACCCTCAGAACAGCCTGTGCCCACCCCCGCCAACCCAAATCCCCTAGAAAGAACTGCCTGCTCTCCCCACCAGGCAGCCTGTGCCCTGTGTATGCACCCACAGACAGCCTGTGCCCTTAATGCAAGCCTCTCCCACCTGGAGACATCCCACACTCCCCCTCTGTGAGTCTCATGGAGACAGGCCCCACGCCCTAACACCCACCCTGAAGCAGAATCTGCCCTAGTTCTGGGTTTATGAATACAACCAAATGAAGTGCTCACCAGATAACTCCCACCATTCCTGTGTACATTGTTTGTTTGTTTGTTTACAGTTTTTTCACCCCTACTTGTACAGGGTGGACTTGCTAACCGTTCATTTACTCTGCAGATACTCCACACCCCCGTTTTCCCACATGGTGATTCATTTGCCCTTAGCTGTGCCAGAGGACTGTCCTATACCTCTCACCTCCCACAGAACACATCATGTGCTTTGATTATATCAATGGGACCTTGTATGCCCCTTTGGAACTGGACATGAGCTTAGTCTACCTCTTCTAACCCAAGGACAATGGTGGACACCCAGCAAAACCCAGTTGGTAGAGTGCTTGCCTAGAATTCCCCCAGTGAGGGGCTGAAGGTATGGTTAAATGGCCCCTGCCTAGAATACAGTGGTGAGGGGTTTAGGAGTTAATTCAATGGTAGAGTGCTTGCCTAGAATTCCTCAGTGAGGGGCTAGAGGTATGGTTGAGTGGTAGAGCTCCTGCCTAGAATCTCCCAGTGAGGGGCTAGGGGTATGGCTCAATGGTAGAGCACCTGCCTAGAATCTCCCAGTGAGGGGCTGGAAGCACAGCTCAATGGTAGCATATCTTAGTGGCAGAGTGCTTTCCTAGTATGTGTCAGGCTCTAGGTTTAATCCCTCATACTACAAAGGGGGGTGGAGGGGGGAAGGCAAGTGAGGAACAGAGGAGGAGAGAGGAAGCAGGAGAGGAAGAAGTTTATGTAGGGCCCTCCTCTGTTCCAGGAATGTCATGTGTGTTAGTTAATTCATTAATAGCAAGTTTGTGAACTTGCCACCATCCGCATTCTACAGGAGGAAAATGAGGAGCATCTCCATTCCTAATGCTTTATGCATGCATGTCCCTCGTGTGTAGGGAGGTCCCAAAGACCCTCTGTGAGGGAGAGGGCTGTCCTCCACCATCTCATGGTATATGATGAGGTTCACGATTATCATTTGCTGTCCCCTCTACTTGTCAAAAGGACTGCACCTGCTGGGCACTGCGGTGACACACACCTATAATATCAGGACTCAGGAGGTGGAGGCAGGAGGATCACGAGATCAAGGCCAGTTCAACTACATAGTTCTAGGCCAGCCTGGGCTACATATTTATGTCAAAACAAAAATAAAACATAAAAAAAAGGACTTCGCCTTTCTTACAAGGCCATTATGAGCACCTCAGAATTCTGCCTCCTCAGAGGACATTTCTCAGGCTTCACTGTCTCAGAGAAAGAAGTCTTTTTTTTTTTTTTTTTTTTGGTCTTTTAAAGAAAGGGTCTCTCTGTAGCCCTAGCTGACCTGGAACTCACTATGTAAGCCAGGCTGGCCTTGAACTCACAGAGATCCCCCTGCCTCTGCCTCCTGAGTGCTGGGATTAGCGACGTGCACCACCATGCCTGGCTCAGAGAAAGAACTCTCATTTCTTCCTTTTTAAAATATTTATTATTTTTATGTGTATGAGTGTATTGCTTGCATGTGTTTAAGTATAATCATGCCATGCAATATCCATGGGGGTCAGAAGAGGGGGTCAAATTCCCAGAACTGGAGTTAGGGACAGTTGTCTGCCATGTGGGTGCTGCGAATCAAACCCAGGTCCTCTGCAAGAGCATTCAGTGCTCTTAACTGTGGAGACATCTCTCCAGCCCAAGAACTCCCATTTCAAAATTAAAAGAAAGCCCATATGTCCCTTGGCTATCAGAGAGCGACTCACCCAGTGTCTTTCCAAGTGAGATCCCCCCCCCACCCAGGGGTCAAGAGACACAAAGTCCCATCATTGACAACCAAGATGGGATGTGAGACATCACACCCTATCCCTGAAGGGACTCTGCGATTCTCTGGTGGGTATAGACTGTGTTCCCCCACTGATGGTGACAAAGAACAGCTCCTCTTCACTCTGAGACAGGTTTGCCTCTTGGTGCATGCTGCAGGACAGGACCCACATCTGCAGCTACTTTGGACTGGAGAGTACAAGCTCTCCTTTCCTAGAGAGGCCATCAGGCATGCCCCGTGCCACCTCACTTGCTTTGGGCTCATCCTATGCCCTTACACATCCCCCTTCAATTTCCAAAGTTCCCTTTCCACTTCTCCTGATCATCCAGCTCCTCTTCCAATATCCTTCACTCCTGTGCTTCTTCCTTCTGCCCCACCCTCTGTGCCTCAGTTTCCCCGTAGAATAAATGTAGACTAGAGTGAAGGAAGTTCTGGCTCTAAAATGCAGTTTAGGGGCTGAAGATGTGGCTCAACTTGGCAGAGCACTTGTCCAGCATGCACAAAACCCTGAGTTTGATTCCCAGCACTGCATAAAGCAGGCCTGGTTATCCCAACACTTGGGACTTGGAAGCAGGAGGATCAGGAGTTCAAGGCCATCCTTGGCTACATAGCAGGTTTGAGGTCAGCTTGGGATACAGGAGAGCTGTCTCAAGAGAAAATTAAATAAAATAGCAGTTTAGGAAGTTAGAATGTTCTCTTTTTTTTAAGTTTAAGGTTTCTTGAAACTGGAATTATGGACGGTTCTTAGCTACCATGTGGGTGCTGGGAATTGAACCTGGATCTTCTGCAAAAGCAGCCGGTGCTCTTAACCATTGAGCTGTATCTCCAGTCCCTTGCCATATGTCACTTAAGGGGGATTTCTGAGAAATTCATGCTCAGGCCAGCGCATTAGGAGGACATTGAGGAGTGTACTTATATAGTCAGAGATGCCCTTCTATGTGACATAATCTGACTGTGCCTCAACCATACACTTGGCCCATTACTGACTGAATTGTTGTTAACTTGGTGCACACCTGCACTTCATAAGTATGTCAGAGTCCTTTGCAAACAGAGTGGTGCCAGTTGACGCTCCCAGCTGCTTCCTCTTATCCTTCCAACGCTTGATACTGCCCTTTTAATATTTGCCCATCTAATTGATCCGAAGTGGTCCCTCCCCGCTGGCTCAAGTTGCTTTTCTCTGACTCCTGCCGCAGCAGTCTCTCTTCATGTACTTGTGAGCTATCCAGACTTGCCCCCTGTGAATAACTATTCATATCCTTTGCTTGTGTTTCAATGGGGTGACTTCTCTCCCCTCTGTTCATCTGCAGGGGCTCTTTGTGGAGCGGAGCATAGGAGAGGAGTCTTTCCTGAGTCTCTTAGCCTCCAGTTACCTACATCTTGGTGTTCTTTGTTGAATAAAATGGTAACCTTTCTGGAATTTACTTGCTCCTCTGATTCACGTGCAGGAACCAGGAGAGAGATTAGCAACTCATTTAAAGAGAAGAATCAGAGGGCTATAGAGGTTAATGGCCCATTTGAGTCACAGACTTAGACCTCAGGGCTCGGGGGCGAAATCCCAGCCTTGGACAGCAGTGTGGCAAGTGGCTTTAACATCTCAGGGTATTCCCATTTCTCTACATTTACTTATTTATTGTGTGTGTGATGTGTGCATAGTACATGTGTACAGGTGGGAAGATAACCAGAGAGAGTTGATTCTCTCCTTCCGCCATGTGGGTTCCAGGGATGGAACTCAGGTCATCAGGCCTGGCGGCAAGTACCTTTACCAGTTGAGAGCCATCTCACTAGCCCCCATTTCTCTCCTCTGCATATCAGGGATACTAATGCTCTATTTTTAGGTTCCTGCAGGATCTGTGAAGTGTCCAGCCTTGAGCTTATACACAAGACTTCATGTCATTACCTCTTTTTTCTCTCTCTGGCTCCCACAGAAGCAAACTGCACCTACTTTAAATTCTTCACCACAGGGGAGAATGCACACATCTTCCAGAGATCCACTAAGAAAGGTAAGATGTTTTCACATTGTGACAGGGCTGGGCTGGGGTGGGAAGGGTTGGGGTAAGGGGGTCAGGATGAGCTCAACTTCTATAATCTGCAGATGTCCCATCTCTGAGGGTGGGTGAGGTATGGTTAACAGAGTAGAGATGTGGGCTGGACATGGTGGCATATATCAGAATCCCAGCACTCAAGAGGCAGAGGCAGATGGATCTCTGAGAGTTCAAGGCCAGCCTGGTCTACATAGTGAGCTCTAGGCCAGCCAGTACTACATAGAGAGACTGTATCTCAAAAATAAATGGGCTCTGGGGTTGGAGAGATGGCTTAGTGGTTAAGAGCACTGGCTGCTCTTCCAGAGGACCTGGGTTCAGTTCTCAGCACTCACATGGCAGCTAACAACTGTCTGTAACTTCAGTTCCAGGGGAATTTGATGCCCTCCTCTGGCCTCCTCAGGTATTGCATGGCACCAGTGCACTTACATACATGCAGGCAAAACACTTATATGCATAAAATAAAAATTAATTAATTAGAAACAAACAAATGGACTGGAGAGATGGTTCAGCAGTTAAGAGCACTGGCTGCTCTTGCAGAGGATCAGGATTCAGTTCCCAGTATCCACAAGGGTGACTAACAACCACTTCCAGGAGATCTGACGCCCTCTTCTAGCCTCTGTGTGCATCACACACATGGGTACACACATACATGCAGGCAAAAATAAAATAATAAATCAATTAATAATTAATAGCAGAGTGGATCTGGACTGCCCTTTGACCCCTAACTCTGCCTATGCTGTGCCCTGTGGCTTTGAGGAAATCACATTATCTCTGTAAACATCTTACAAATGAACACTTAGTACACACTAAGCCCAGCACCCAAGGTTTGTTGATGGAATCTCTAGTCCTTACTGTAATCCTGAGGGGATGGGACTGTAGCTTCATCTTCCTGTAAAAAAAAAGATAAATCCAGAAATGGGTATAATTATTATTTTTTCCCCACAAAAGGGCAGAGGCAAGATTCCAACTCAAATAAATCTGATTCTAACTCAACGTTCTTCTATGGAATTGTCTGTGAAAATGAAAATGTTCTGTGTGTACGCTGGTCCATCTGGCAGCCTCCAGCCACATGCAACAACAGAGTATGCATTTTAAATTTTATTCAAACCAATTTTAAACGGAAAGGTTCTGTGTGTCGAGGAGCTACTATTGCACTGAAAAATGTATCTCTGAGGATTTTGCCCTTTTGACTCAAAGCCCAGCTTCCTGAAATGTCACCCCAGTGTCTCAGTGTCCCCATCAGCGATGAATTGGGATCATGCCATGACTCTCTTTAAAAATTTTTATGTACTGTTACTGTGTGTGTGTGATGCGTGTGGGGGCACATGTGTGGCAGTCAGAGGACAGCTCTGCGGAGCTGATTCTCTCCTGCTTTTATGTGGGTTCTGGGGTTCGAACTGAGAGGGCCAGACTTGCACAGCAAGCACCTTTATGTGCTGAGTCATCTTGCTGGCCCCAAGGTTCAAGTCTTGTTGGCTGATGGTAAGGATTTAATGAGATAACGGAGCTAAACGTTCAGTGGATCCTGGCACGTAGCAGGTGCTCAGTAAACAATGGCTCCTCACATTCCCCACCCCTTTCTCTATTGCCTTTCTGGTATGAAGTGGTACAAGTCACCATGTACCTCTGAGATGGTGAAATACCCTGGTGTGCATATATGGAAAGGACTGCCTACTACGTGCTGATCAGCACACAGGCACTTTATGTGACTTCTAATCCTGGTTTTCTGGAGGAGGACCCTGAGGCTGAGAGAGGGTTAGGACCTCACCAGAGTCTTCGGGCTGGAAAGTAGTGGAGAGGAGCTGCAACTTGGATCATTGCATGATAACAGCTCACCTTTGCACTGTCCCCTACACACTCCGTTCCAACTTCCTCATCTGTAAACCAGTGATGACCAGATGATAAGTAGGAGATGGTCAATTTGTCTCCCTGCCCTGGTCTGTCCCTTTTTTGCTCTATAACTTGAGTCAAGCCACTAACTGACCCTTCTGAGTCTCTGTTCCTTCAGCTATGTAAAACACGTTGACGGGATGACCCTGAAGACTTCCATCGTCCAGGTTCTGGGTCCCTATGGAGGAGCGTCCACTCTCCAGCTCCCATATTCTCTGCTTCTTTTGTGTCCCCTCCTTGCAGAGGTGAACCTGGCAGCTGCGGTGATGGCCGTGCTGGGCCTCACAGCCATGGCCCTGGGCTACCTCTGTGTCATCACGGTGCTCAGCAAAGGCGCAGAGTTCCTGCTCCGAGTGGGAGCTGTCTGCTTTGGTCTCTCAGGTGAGAGCTGAGTACAAGGGAAGGCTGAGGATGTCCCCTGCTGGGAGACGGGAGTCCCATGTACTGTTGCATGCTGGGAGGTAGGATTCCATAGACTAGTGCATGCAGAGGTGATTGCTCCTCACAACTGGTGCATGCTGGGAGCAGGGATCCCCACCCTGTTGCATGCTGGAAGCAGGGATCTCCATATATTGCTGCATGCTGGGAGGTGGGCGCTCCACACACTGTTGCATGATGGAATCTCCACACACCCGTTCCGTGATGGGAGGCGAGACCTCTGTATACCAAGCGCTGCTGCATGCTGGGAGTTAGGGAGAAGCCATGGCTGTAGTAGGCTCAAAGACGGAAGAATTTCAAAAACTGTTGTTGGCAAGGGTTATTTTTAGATTTAAATACTATTTTAGATTTGTAGCTAGGCGCTCCTAGAATTGTTGCATGCTGGGAGGTCGGATCTCTAAGTGCTACTTCACGTGGGGAGTTGGGGGAAGTTCAGGGCTGCAGTAAGCTCAAAGAAGGAAAAATTCCAAATCCTGTTGTTGGCTAAGAAGTGGAGTATCTCCAAACACTGTTTTAGACTTGGACTTGGGGGTCTTCAAGGATTGTTTCATGCTCAATGGGGGAGCTGGTCTCCAGGTACTGTTGCATGCTGGGAGTTGGAACAAACTCCAGGATGACAGAAGTCTAGAAACTAGGAGCAGTCTAAGCCCTGTTGTTAGGTGGCAATTAGACGCTCTCCAAACGCTCTTTTAGATTTGGCCCTGGTATCCCCAACACTGTTGTATGCCAGGAAGTAGAGGAAGGTGTCTGGGTAGTGTTGCATGCTGGGAGGTGAAGGAAGGCTATGGGCTATAGAAAGTCTGAAGATGAGCGAGTCTCAAGCCCTTTTGTTGGCTGGGAACTAGGTTTCCAGAGTTGGAGAGATGGCTCAGTGGTTAAGAGCACGGGCTGCTCTCACAGAGGACCTGAGTTTGATTCCCAGCACCCAAATGGCAACTAACAAGGTCTGTAACTCCAGTTCCAGGGGATCCCATACCCTCTTCTGGCCTCCGCAGGTATCACAGGACACAGGTGCACTTACATGTAGGCGAAACACTTGTACACGTAAAGTAAAAAAATAAAGGTTTCCAAACTGTCAGAGATTTAGACTTGGGGTCCACATCTGTTGTATTATTGTAAGTGAAGGTCCAGAAAAATACTACATCTTGTGAAATGTCACCAATAATAACAGACTTCAGTTTAGTCTACCCCCATCTCAAAGCATTGTGGCAGGGGTGCTAGGTAGAGGTTACTAGTCATTATTTTTTTGATAGGGACATTGATATCCAGGGAAGTCAAATGAATTCTCATAATCACTCCACCAGTGATGGCAGAGGTGGGTCTTTTAATTTGTTCACAGTTTCACACACACATGTATGTAGTAATTTGATCACATCTTTCGTCCTTTTTATTTTCTGTTATTGTTTGAGATCCCTCTCCCACTAGCCCCTTTTCCCCTGCAAGTCCCCCTTCTTTCATGTCTCACCTCCCTCAAGCCCTGCCCTTCTCCAGTCTTTGGTACTCCACTGCATTTAGTTAGGGTTGCCCACATCAGCATGGGTGGGCAGTTGTTTACTTAAGCAAGGGTAACTTACCATCGCTGCACACTGAGAAATATGACTCCCTCTCCCCAAGCAACCATCAATTGCCTATTACTCATCAGGGAGGAGTGAGGCCTCATGAGCCCCTCCCTCATCCATAACGGAGTTTATAAAAAGGTTTACATATTTTTATTTTATATGTAGTAGTGATCACTTATCAGCCTTTTAGATAAGATCAAGTGTAGTATCTGTTCTTTTTTTAAAAAATTTATTTTATGTGTATGAATGTATTGCCTGCATGTATGTAAGTGCACCCATGTTGTGCAATGCCCGTGGAGGTCAGAAGAGGACTTTAGATTCCCTTGTAACTGGAGCAAGAGATGGTTGTTAAACTACCATGTGGGTGCTGGGAATCGAACCCAGGTCCTCTGCATGAGCAGTCAGTGCTCTTAACCGCTGAGCCACCTCTCCAGTCCTAGTATCTATTCTTAACAGTTTAATATGTGTATAAGTGTTAGCCTGAATGTATGTAAGGGCACCATGTGAATGCATAGTGCTTGCAGAGTCCAGAAGCAGGTGCTGGATCCCCTAAACTGGAGTTGCAGACAGTTGTGAGCTGCCATGTGGGTGCTGGAAACTGAACTCTGGTCCTCTGCAAGAGCAGCCAGTGCTCTCAGCCACGGAGCCATCTCTCCAGTCTCCTATGGTGCATTGTTGATGGGCCCAGTCTTGTCAGGTCTTGTGTACTGACCACCCAGAGGTGGAACTTGATGCTGGGCCTTAGTTTCCTTTTCACTATACAGCATCATTGAATTTGGGGAAATCTGTTCCCACCGGGTCTTGACAGGCTCAAAGCATGATATGGGGGAATGAATGCTTAACTGGAGATCACTTGTTTCCTCATAAGCTATAACCTGCCTAGGTTCCCTTATTGTAGGTGCACCCTGAATCATCGTGTGATGTGGGAAATTTCTTTTTTGGGGCAATAGCTTCCTCATTGAGTCAAATGTCTTCTACAGTGTCTAGAAAAATTATTAATCATATAAGCTTCATTTCTTTGGTCTTTTTTTTTTTTTGGTCTTTTTGAGACAGGGTCTCCCTGTAGCCTCAGCTGGCCTGGAACTCACTATGTAGACCTGACTGGCCTTGAACTCACAGAGATCCACCTGCCTCTGCCTCCTAAGTGCTTGGATTAAAGGCATGGGCCACCACACCTGGCTATTTCTTTGTTCTTTGTGTGTTTATGAGTACCTGTTATGTTCTAGGCAATGCTAGTGATACAAGACTAAATAAAATAAGAGAGGCACTGTGTCTGCTTTTGAATCCTCCTCCCATTCTGGCAGATAATGACTAATAAACACACATATAATAATCCAATTATTATTGTGATGGGATTTGGTATCAAGTCCACATATTGTGGTGGCAGTGTATGTCAGTGTATGTTAGAGAAGCTCCCCAAGAAAGTGACATTTAAGCTGATGCTTGAAGGACAATAGGAGTTATCCAATGTGACGGTGACATTTGGGATGGCAATAGGTTATGTCGGGGATGATAGTGACGGTAATGTTGATGATGATGGTGGTGATGTTAATGAGAATAGGAGTAGTGGTAGTGATGTGAATTATGGTGAGGGTCATAGGGATGGTAGTGATGCTGATGGTGAGTGGCGGTAGTTGGTACTGACGGTGGTGGGAGTGATGGTGGTAAGTGGTAAACTTAATGAACATAGTGGTGATGGTGGTGGTGGTAGTGGTGATAGTAATGGTGATTATGGTAGTGGTGGTGATGTTGGTGATCATGGTGGGCATGAGAATGGTGGTGATTATGTTGGGTAGTAGTGGTGATGATGGTGTTGGTGATGGTGATAGTGGTGATAATTCTAGTGATGATGATGATGGTGGTGGTGGTGGTGATGTTGGAAATAGTGGTAGTGGTGATAGTAGGTGGTGATGTTGATAGTGGTGACTGTGATGTTAGAGGTGACACTGCAGTATTAGTGATGGTAATTGTGGTCATGATGTTGGTGAGGACATTGGCAATAACAGTGATGGTAATGATAATAGTAGTGTTGTTGCAATATTAGTCATGGTGGTGGTGAAGGTGATGATGGTGGTGATGTTAACAGTAGTGTGGTGGTGATGGTGATGGTTATGGTAGTGGCAGTGATGGGATGGTGTGATGGTGGTATTAGATGTGATGGTCATGGTGGTGATGGTGGTGATGGTGGTGGTGGTGATGGTGATGGTGACAGTGGTGGTGAAATAAAATGAGCAAAAGCTATAAAGCATCAGGCAACTTTGAGGAACAGATTGATTCTCAGAGGTACAGCAAGCAAATCTTGCACAAAGTTCACAGTAGCTTCAGCTGTCAAGTGAGACAGAACCCTGATATATGACCAGATCAGTGGACATTCTGGGTCTCAGCCAGGCCAAGGCTGTGCTGCAGACTGTTCTCTTAGGCACACAGGGCTCCTTTTCCCTGATGCAGTCTGACATCCCTGGTATGACCCAAAGAGGCAGCTGTGCTCTGATGCCTGCCCACTGCTTCTGGCTCCTCTCACCCTTTCGTTGCATCCTTTTACCCTGCTTCCTTCCATCCATCCATTTACCCATCTGTCCACCCATTCATTTGTATGGTGTGAGTGTGTGTGTGTGTGTGTGTGTGTGTGTGTGTTCATGTGTATGTACAGGCCAGGGGTCCTCATCAGGTGTCTTTCCTCAGGCATTGTCCATCTTGTTTTTTGAGACAAGGTCTCTCTCTGGCCTGGAACTCACAAAGTAGGCTAGACTGGCTGGCCTTTAAACCCCAGGGATCTTCCCGTCTCTGCCTCTTAGTGCCAAAATTCCAAGCATGTCACCTGCATAGCTTTTCTTTTTTAAAATGTGGGCTCTAGGGATCAAACTAAAGTCCTCATGCTTGCAAGGTAAGTACTTTACTGACTGAGTCATCTCTCCAGTCCCTCCTTCTTTCTGTGAAAAGGTCTTACAGTGCATTCAAGGCCAGCCTTGAACTCACTCTATAGCCCAATCTGGCATTGAATTTACCATGTAGCCCAGGGTATTAGTGATATTAGGCATGTGCTCTACCACTGAGCTACCTTCTTGATTAGATTATTTCCACAAAAGTAATGTGTCAAGGCCAAGGCTCAGCGACCTCCATCTCCACTGAGAGACTTGGCTCATGAACAAATAATTTGAGGGAAAAAACGAAACAAAGATGAGGCTGGATGGATGGTCCAGTGGTTAGGATCGCTTGCTGCTCTTCTAGAGTCCAGAGTTTGGTTCCCAGCACCCACATCAGGCTGCTCTCAACTGCCTAAACTCCAGTTCCAAAAGATCCAACACTCTCTTCTGGCCTCCATGAGCATGCACATACCCACACATTCACACACACATACACACGAATTAAAATTTTTTAACTAAAGTTTTTATCATATTTTTGAGAGAGAGAAACGAGAGCAAGAGCACACAGGTAGAGGTCAGAGGACAACTTGTTGGAGTCAGTTCTCTCTTATCACCATGTGGCCATCTCATCAACCCCTAAAAACTAGTTTTTAAAAAATACAAGGAATACTATTTTGTGACATATGACTGACTATGCACCGCAAAGCTGAAAATACCTACTATGTGACTCATGGGCTTTAGTTTGTCAACTCATGGTGTAGACCAACAATCTAGAAGTTGTCTTTGTACTTTACGTCTGGCAACAGAGTCTATTGGCACAGCTTCTGAAGGATGCTTTTTTCTTTCTTTTTGTTTTTTTGAGGCAGCGTCTCACATCTCCCATCTCTTCACTGTCTTCCATGTGCACCTAGCTGTTCCCATTTTCCTCCTTTGATGAAGACGCTGCTAATTTGCATTAGGGCCCAGGCTGATACTCTCCTGTAACCTAATTATCTCTTTAAAGACCATATCCCCAGCTTTCTTTATGGCTGTGTCCAATTCCACGATGTCTACATACACTTTCTTTATCCGTTCATCTGTTGCTGAGCATCTAGTCAGGCTCCACTTCATGGCTATTGTGAACAGGGCAGCAATAAACCTGGATGTGCAAGTACTTCTTTATGTGCTTACTTAGATTCCTCTGAGACTCTGAGACTGGTATAGTTGGGTCATAAGGGAATTCTGCTTTTAGCTTTTTAATTAATGAGTTGTGAGTATGTGTGTCTTACCTGCATGTATGTAGATGCGTCATGTGCATGCGATGCCACCAGAGTGCATTAGATCCTCTGGAATTGGAGTCATGGACAGTTGTTAACTGCCATATGGGTGCTGAGAACTGAAACCAGGTCTTCTAGCCCTGTTTTTTAGCGCTTTTTTTGTTGTTTGTTTTTTGGTCTTTTTGAGACTAGGTCTCCCTGTAGCGCCTTCTGGCCTGGAACTCACTATGTAGAGTAGGCTAGCCTTGAACTCACAGAGATCTGCTTGTCTCTGCCTCTCAAGTGCTGGGATTACAGGTATGTACCACCATGCCTGGCTTATTTTTAGCCTTTTAAAAATAATTTTTATTACATATATGTAGTGGGTGGGGGACCTGCATGTGTTCATGTGTGTATGTGCCACAGTGTACATGAAGGGGTCAGGGGATAACTTGCAGGCATAGCGTCTCTCCTGATGCCACTGGTTCCAGGATCAAACTCAGTCATCAGATTTGACAGGAGGGGCCTTCACCTGCTGAGTCATCTTGGCAGCCCAATTTTAGATTTTTGAGAAACTTTCTCACTGATTTCCGTATGGGCAATTTAGATGCCCATAGTGGATAAGTGTTCCCTTTTTATCAAATGCATGCTGTTGTTTTCGTGTATCCGTGGCTGACCTGAAATTTACTATGTAGCCAAGGTTGGCCTTGAACCAGCTTTCTGTAACCTGCCTCGACCTTCTGAGTACTGGGTCTACAGGCACACACCATCATTCCAGACACTCTCTACTCAAAAGATTTGGGGGAGGGAATTGGCTAGATGGCTCAGTGGTTAAGAGCACTTGCTATTCCTGCAGAGGACCTGAGTACAGTTGCCAGCATCCATGTCAGGTGACTCAAAACTGTATGTAACTCCAGCTCCAGGGGACCCAACATTCTGGGCCTCTGTGTGTCAAAGGATTTCTCTGAAGTGACATTTAAAAGATTGGGTAAAATCTTATAAGAAGCTAGGTATTGTGGTGCATACCTATAATCCTATAATCTCTATCCTCAGGAGGCTGAGTATAGAGAATCATAAATTTGTGACTAGCCTGAGTTATATAGCCAGACTGTCTTAAAGAAAGAAACAAACAGAACAGTTCCTTCAAAAATAATAATGATTGAGCCAGACATGGTGGTGCATGCCTATATACCCAGTAATCTAAGGAAGCATAGGCAGGAGGATTGCTGCAAGCTCAAAGCCAGCCTGGTCTACATAGTAACTTCCCAGGCAGCCAGGGCTATAGGAAACCTTATCTCAAAAAATAAGGTAGAGGGGCTGGAGAGATGGCTCAGAGGTTAAGAGCACAGGCTGCTCTTGCAGAGGACCCAAGTTTGGTTCCCAGCCCCCACATGGCAGCTAACAACCATCTGTAACTGCAGTTCCAGGGGATTTGATGCCCTCTTCTGGCCTCTGCGGGCACTGCACAACCCAGGCACACTTAAGACACATTCAGGCAAAACTCTCATACACATAAAATAAAAATAAATCAATAAAAAAATAAGGTAGAGAGAAGATGACTCAGTAGGTAAAGGGACCTGCCTCAAGGTTGATAACCTAAGTTTGACCCCCAGGTCCTACATGATGGAAGGAGAAAATTGGCTCCTTCAAGTCATCCTCCAACTTCCACACATACACCATGGCACACATGTCCCCCTGCTCCCAATTAAATAAATAAAACATAATAAAAATTAAGTGGAAGTAGAGCATAGTAGTGAACACCTTTAATCCCAGCATTCAGAAGGCAGAGGCAGGCGGATCTCTCTCTGTGTTCAAGGCCAGCCTGATCTAACAATGAGTTCCAGACCAGCCTGGGCTACATAGTGAGACCTTGTTTAAAAAAAAGAAGAAGAAAGCCGGGCGTGGTGGTGCACGCCTGTAGTCCCAGCACTTGGGAGGCAGAGGCAGGCAGATCTCTGTGAGTTCAAGGCCAGCCTGGTCTACATAGTGAGTTCCAGGACAGCTGGGGCTACAGGGAGACCCTGCTTGAAAAAGACAAAAAAAAAAAAAAAAAAAAAGAGCAACTGAGGAAGGCACCTTACTGACGCTGACCTCTGGCTTGTACATGAGAGTGCACACAAGCAAGCACATATGTACATGCACACATACTACACACACACACACACACACACACACACATACACACACACACACAAGTATGTCCACTTTCACATATAGAAAGAAAAGTAAGGGAAAAGATTTTACGTATTCAACACAGATGTAATATTTCCAGTCGCACATTGCTGGAATCTCGGCATGACTACTGAGTGACTGCTTTGACAGGTAGAAGGGTTCCCAGGTTTCTTGGTTGGTGAAGGGATGTAGTGGCAACGTTCTCAGACCCAACTGGAGTCCCAAGCCTAGAGCCTCATTCTCCTCTCCCTCTACAGGCCTGCTGCTCTTTGTAAGCCTGGAGGTGTTCCGGCATTCCGTGCGAGCCCTGATCCAGGGAGTCAGCCCTGAGGTTCCCCCAGCTCCACGCCTGACCTACGAGTATTCCTGGTCCCTGGGTTGTGGCGTGGGCGCCGGCCTGATCCTGCTGCTGGGGGGTATCTGTTTCCTGCTGATCACCCTGCCTTCCTGGTCCTGGGGGTCACTGTGCCCGAAACGGGGCAGCCCAACCGCCTAGATCCACAGCCTGCTTTTTTGCAGGCATCTGCCAAGCCCTGCCTCAGCTTCCAGCTTTCCCTTGGAGGTCTTCCGGCCTTCTTTTACAGATACTGTTCTTTCTATTCTGGGGGCCTGTGTTGTTTCTACAAATCTTACTCCTGTCCCCTCATCTTTTTCTCTCTGTAAATATGTTTGGGGGGGGGCCTGGGAGATGGCTCAGTAGGTAAAGTGCTTGCTGAGCAAGCATGAAGACTTGAGTTTGGATCCCCAGCACCCACTGAAGAACCCAGCACTGAGGTATCCACCTGTGAGCCCAGCGTTGAGGAGGCAGAGACAGGAGGAACCATGGGGCTCACTGGCTGGCCAGCCTAACCAAGTAGTGAGATCCAGATTTAAAAAATTAGGACAATTCATGCTGACCTCTGATCTCCACACACACCTGCATGCACACCTACACACATACACAGGTGAACACACACACCTACAAGTGTTTTTCTTGGTAGCTGAATTTGGGTTGTTGGGGGTAGGATAGGAAGAGGCATTGTTCAAATGTTTCCCTGAAGAGGCTTCCACTCTTCCGATGGGGAGACTGGTGCAGGCAGGTGGGGGACAGGGGCCGAAGGGGATTTGGGATCCTTTGTTGTCTAAATCTCTGTGGATTCACTTGTGGAAGAGCTGTCCCATGACTGTCTGGAGGGACAGGGAGAGAAGAACCCGGGTCTGACTTCACTGTGATCTGTTTGGGATTAAAGGTTTGGAGATGTGACAGCTTTGGTTTGGAGTCTGTTTGTGATGGGATCTTGCTCTCTAGGCAGAGCAAAGGGACCCTTGTCCTCACCATCAGTCTGGAGTCACTTCTACACAAGTTCACAGAGGTGGCAGACCAGAGAGAGAGAGAATACAAGGTTCAGAACACAGACACTGTCAGGGGTTGAATTCTGTTCCCCACAACAGTACATGTACTGGAGACCTGACTCAGTGCTTCAGAATGTGACCTTGTTTGGGGACAGTTGTGTGTGTGTGTGTGTGTGTGTGTGTGTGTGTGTGTGTGTGACTGTCTATTCATTGTACAAAATGTTGGCTTTCACTGTGACATTTTAATATCAATTTACTTTGACCGTTCCGCATTTTCATCTTTCCTTCCCACCCCTTGCTGTGCTTCTTGCTCCTGAGCAGTCCCCGTTCTATTTTGTTTTATTTTATTAATTTAGACAATGTTTCACTGTGTAGGCTGGCCTCAAACTCTCAATGCTCCTCCTGCCTTACCTCCTTAGTGCTGGGATTGCAGGTGTACGGCCATGCCAAGTTTGGGATGTTCATTGTGACACAGGGTCTTGTTCTGTAACCATAGCTGGTCTGGAACTCATGTAGATTAGGCTGGCCTCGAACTCTCCATTCTCCAGCTTCAGCCACCTGAGTTCTGGGATCACAGGCATGTACCACTATACCATGCCCAGCTCTGAAAATAGTTTGCTGTTTGGTTTTTTGTTTTTGTTGTTTATTTGTTATGCTGCCCTGGCTGGTCTGAAACTCACCATGTAGCCCATGCTGGATGCCTGCTTGCAGTGATCTTCCTGCCTCAGTGCTGGGATCACAGGTGTGGGCCTCCATGTTAGGCTCTGGAGGTCTTCACAGAGATAACCAAATTAAAGTGAGGTCACCAGGGTGGGTAGTAATTCAACTCAACTGGTATCCTTGTGAAAAGGAGAGATTGGGACACACCTCTGCACACAGACAGAGCTTGAAAGAACACAGCCATACGTACACTAAAGAAGCAGCCCCAGAGTGGATCCCTGCCTCAAGCCTCAGGAGGAAGCAGCCATGCTCAGTCTGGATCTTACACTTAGGACAACATCCAGAACCAGAAAGCAGCAGGTTTGTTGTCCAATCACTCGGCAGTGATCTGTCACCACAGCCCCAGCAGGTGTATCCAGACTTTGGCACACAAGATGCGGATGCTTCTAGGATATATATTGAAAGACATGAAGAGGGAGACCAGGCCACATGGCTCAGCAGGTAAAGGTGCTGCCACCAAGCCGGATGACCTGAGTTGGATCCCCAGGACTCACATGGTGGAAGGCGAGAATTGACTCCTGCAAGTTGTCCTCTGACCTCACACTTGTGCTGTAGCATAAATGCAGACATATACACACAAATAAGTAAAACATAATTAAAAATGTGGAGGTTGAGGCTAGGGAAATTGTTCAGTTGGTGAAGTGCTTGCTTGAGGACCTGAGTTTGAACCCACATTAAAAAAGCTGGGCATGGTAGTGCTTGCTCCCAGTGTAGGGGAGACAGAGTCAGGAGGCTCCCTAGGGCTGGCTCTCCAGATAGTCTAGTTTATCCAGTGACCCCAAACCATGAGAGACACTGTGTCACAAAACAAAGTGGACAGTACCTGAGGAATGACACCGGAGGTTGACCTCGTCTCCGCAAGCACACGTGTAGTCACATTTCCACGACACTGGGTTTGACTGAGATGGTGTCTCCATAAATAAGGTGGAAGGGTGATAAAGGATGATTCCCAACATCAACCTCAAGCCTCCACACGCACATGCACCCATGTGCACACCCACACATATGCAAACACACACAAAAAAAGGAAGAAAAAAAGAAAATGTGGTTCAATATGCAAAGGAACTTTGCTTAGCTATAAAGAAAAATAAAACTATGAAATTTTCAGGCAAATGATTGGAGCTGGGAAATATATTAAGTTAGGTCCAACCAACCCAAAAGGACAAAGAACACTACAACTGCATATTTTCTCTCTGTGAATCCCAGTTTCAAACGTGTGCTTGTGGGGTGTGTGTGTGTATGTGTGTGTGTGTGTGTGTGTGTGTGTGTGTGTGTGTGCGTGCGCATTTATAAGGAGTGTGAATATGCATATAAGCCACGAAATAAGAAAGGGAGCCCATGAGAAGAAAAAAGAGGTTTTATAGAAAGGAAGTGGGGAGAGGAATGACCATAAAGCAATTCTTGCTTGGCAAGCCCATCCAGGATCCCCCATAACTCCCAACCATAAAGTTCTGCAAACAAGACCTTCTGAGACCCTTATTGGGGGAGAATGCAGACCCTAAATCCTCTACCCAGCTCCTGTGATCTGTTTACATATGCAGAAGTACTTAAGCTCCCCTGCCGTTCGGCCTGTGTGGTTACTGTAGACCCCCGTTGGTCAGTAGTCACCCCTCACTGACTAACGAAGGCCAGTGTGGATTGTATGAAGTTGGTCCCTTTTTTTCCACCTGCAACTCTTTGAATTCCTAATCGCTAACATTTTGATGCTGAAACCCAAGAGAGAGTTAAAACTCCTAATTCCATGGGGCTGGAGAGATGGCTCAGTGGTTAAGAGCACTTGCTGCTCTTGCAGAGAACTCGAGTTTGGTTCCCAGCACCTCTGTCCAGCAACTCACAACTGCCTGTAATTCCAGCTCCAGGGGATCCAACATTTTCTTCTGAACTCTACAGGCACCTGCACACACATGACATATACACATACACACAGGTACACATAAGTGAAAATTAAACCTAGAAAAGGAAAGGCTTGGCTTAAAGCCTTGCTTCTCCAAGTAGTTGAAGCAACTTTCTTAAGCTCTTTGTGTCTCCGTTTCATCACCTTTGAGGACAGCTCATGGGCTCAGCATAGCACCGGCTTCCCTCAGCCACTTCAAGGAGTAAATGCGGTAATAATCCCTGCAAAGCTGCTGGGAGGCCTCCTGGCGCAGGATCATAACTGCATCTGTCTTGCAGTTATTATTTATCAAGTGGCACTTTGGGCCTGGCATACAGTAAAGGGTAAAGAAGGGCCCCTGAGGAGCTGACAATCTGCCCGTGGAAACAGATATTAATCCCGTCATCGGGCTAATGACTGTGTAATTATAAACAGAGATAAATACTAGGAAAAGAGACCATCAGCAATTTATTTTCTCTTTGACTCTGTCTGGCCAGCTCAGGGAATCCCAGAGCTGGGTACCATAGACTAGTGGGCTTGAAGGGGCACCGGTTTGGGATGATGGTTCTACCCAGTGAAGTGTCTATCCAAAACACTCATGTGGAAGCCAGAAGTGGACATCAAGATGTCTTCTTCAGTAGCCTCCACCATAAAGGGTCTCTCACTAAACTGGAAGCTTACCTCATCAGCTAGGCTGGCCGATATCCTGAGATCCACATACCTCTACTGTCTAACACTAGGGTTACAGGCACCCTGTGAATTCACATCCTGATGCTTACACAGCAAATATTCTTACCCACTGAGCCATCTCTGTAGCCCCCCAAGTCTCCTTTCTATCTGAGGTCTGGGCAGGGAAGGGGCAGCCTGAAGTATGATAGCCAAATCAGCCTTCACCAGACCCTTCCCACCCACAGCTCCCCTGTAGTAGTGAGCTTTTTGCCACTGTGAGGAAAAGTTGATAGCAGATAATCAAGGCAATTAATTTACCATTTATAATTTCAGTAGTATCTGTATCATCAGTTATTTTGAAACACTGAGTTGTTATCAACCACAGTTATGCAAGTTAACCCTGAGCTACATTGTTATCAATCACAGTCATGGACGTTAACTCTGGGACACACTGTTGTCTCCTGGGGTACATTGTGGTCAACCATAGTCATGCAAGCTAGCCCTGAGATACATTGTGGTCAATCGCATTTATGCGAGTTAACCATGGAATACGATGTTGGAAACTGTAACTATAGTTTTCCAAGTTAACTCTGGGATACACTGATGCCAATCACAGTTATGCAAGTTAACCCTGGGATGCAATGTTATCAACTATAGTTATGCAAGTTAATGCTGGGATACACTGTTGTCAATCACAGTTACGCAAGCTAATGCTGGAACACACTGCTGTCAACTGTAATTACGGACATAATACAAGGATACATTGTTGACAGTCACAGTCATGCAAGCTAACCCTGGGATACATTGTTGTTAACCATAGTTGTACAAATTATTGCTTGGATACAGTGTTCCAACAGCTCATTTGTTCTTGAGAGATCTCTCTGTCTCTTCTCCACTTCTGAGCAATCCATGTGCCTTCCCTCCCTCCCTCCTT